ACTACGACCTATGCGACCAACTACGATCAATGTGGCTCACTGCTCATACAACTTCCAAATACAATTGATCAATGACTAACTGATGCTATTACAGCTCCCCGCTAAGGCCTACATAACCAAATATGACATATGTGGTTGATTGCTCATGCAACTTTCAACTGCAGTCATGGTGGCCAACTAATGTTATTATAGGTCCCCACTATGGTTTATGTAACCAACTACTGTTATTACAACATCTAAATACGATCTTGATGGCTAACTGATGCTATTACAACTTCAAACTACGACCTCAGATGTCAACAAATGCTATCACAACCACCATCTAAAATATATATGACAGACTGCTACCTTCAACAATCAATTACGGCCTTTACAACTCGTTATCGCTATTATCAATAAGAACTACAACTTGATTACACCTATTATTGTTAAACTATTGTTGTACATCAATTTTGTAATTTCATCTTCCCTAATTAAGGAAAAATGTCGACCCATGTACTTTAAATCATATAGTGAGATTATTTTGACTTGTGGGTTTTTCTCTTGTTAGGGATTTCTACATAAAAAATCTTGGCAGCTCTTACGACTACTTTCTATTATGTGTAATAAATTTCATAGAATGTTGAAACGTTAATTTATCACTCTATAGCCGTGAATCTTTTGGCACAGAACAAATTTCCAATGAACTTTGCCACAACTATAACATACATGATTTATGCTAGAAAGACGATCAATTAAAAGCTTTTATGATCAACAAATTACATAAACATTTAATGAAGATTTTGACTCCTATTTATAAATAGCTATACAATTTGATTGATTATAACCTTGAATTATTTTTTTAAAAAGTTAAATTTCATTATTATAAATCCAAAGTTACCCTTAGGTTAACATCAGTATCACCCTGTTCTTTACGCTTTGATTGATAATAACCTTTAATTATTTTTTTAAAAAGTTAAATTTTTTGGTGAAATTTCATTATTTTAAATCCAAAGTTCCCCTTAGGTTAACATCAGTATCACCCTGTTCTTTACTTCACTCCCGCCTCGCTCCGATTCCCGGCTTCCAGACTCTCGACTCTTCGGTAGTGCTGATCTCATCCTCTTCCTCTCTCTCTCTCTCTCTCTCTCTCTCTCCTTTCGCTGGATACCAGTACTCAGCTTTCCACTACGGGAACCCATCACACTCGACGATCTGCGCCACCAACCTTCATCCGTGGCCGACGTGGTTCCGCTACCATCGCCCGTCGTTACCTCTCCCACGCCTCATTTTAAGGTAATTCTTGTTCATATATTCCTCTTCGGTACCTCCGCGGCCGAATTCGCTGTTGAGCCTTCGTTTCTGCTTCCAATGTCGAAATCCAGAGCTGCGTATCTCACTACACTACGACGGCGAGCTTGTGCTTCGCCGATGAGCTCGAAACGGGCTTGATCTCGAGTTCGAGCTCTGTTGGAAATGCCAGAGTTGGTTATTCTCGCATTCGGAAAATTTCTTCCCTTTTTCTGCTCTTCAGAATATCACATTTGCTTTGTTTATTCTTCAGGCAAGGAAAAAGATGTTGGATGTAGGTGTTCGAGCCGATGGTCGAACAATGAACCAACTAAGGCCTCTGACTTGTTCTCGAAATTTACTTAGTAGAGCTCATGGTTCGGCTCGATGGTCTCAAGGTAAACCCTAAAGTTATTTTTGTTATATTCTCTATTCGGTTACTTTTTTCCCATCCTAATTGATTTGCGATATAATTGCAAGCGTTGATGCAATAGTTTTGTTTACTTTTGACATTTGTATGATGTCATTTTTTATAATGGTTCTATCTGAATATGCAAAGGCTATCATCTGGTAACTCATTGTTAGATTATTTTCAATCTTTCCTGCTTCTTTCTTTCTGTGATCGATGCATTGGAAATTCCAAAGGGTCTTTGTAATTATAAACCGGGGACTCAGATGTCTCCAAAATACAGGAGTTGATACTAGAATAAAATTTTCAAAAATTTACATACACCCCACACAATTCTTATCTATTTACATATCTAACACTGAAAATTTTAGTTTTACATTTATAACACTTTTGTGTAATAAACCTACACATGAAAAGGTTTATCTCACTCTTTAGGAGTAGGTGATAGTGGTATTTTTTGTGTGATATAAAAATTTGAGTTCTATGCATGTAAATATGAAAGCTTGGGCGTTGAATATGCAAATACATAAGAATTGTGTGGCATTCAAGGGGCATGTACATATCTAATACCTAAATTTTGTTTTTCACATATATAAATCAAATCTTTGATATCATATAAAAAATACCACTTTTTAAATTTTACGCACTATTTATTTATTATATAATTAATTCAAGACCAAATGAGCCAAACACGATCGAACAAAAGCTTGTTCGTGTTCAACTCATTTATAATTCGAGTTCGAACGAATCAAACACTAGCTACTTAGTGAGTCAAACACTAGTTGTTCGTGAAAAGAAAGCTTTTTTCATAGTCCTAGTGATGAAATGTTAGGTTGTAATCATGCATTGCAGCTTTTTTAGAATTTTGGCTATTCACCTGATAATTCCTTTCTCTGGTTTCCCTAGTTTGGGATTTTCCATTTTCTCGTTGCACCAACTTGGTATCAGAGCTATCAGGCCGATGGCGGTTTGAAATTTATCAACGATGACGATTGCTGGGAAGGTATGCACAAGCTCACTTTTAATCTCTAATGACGGCTAGATCACCTTACCATTGAGTTTCGTAAGTTCATGGACTAAATGAGGATTGAACTGAGTGCTATTTGGAACATCGTCATTATCCATCAACACTCACACTGACAAGCATGCATACCACACATGCTTCGGGAGAACTTGTGTTCACTTAAGATCCGCGACATACTCAAATGGTTGGAGTTAACAGGCAGATCCTATATCCTTGCATCCTGCAATGATCGTAACACCCAACGGTGGACGCTACTATTTGATTTAGATATGAACGATTTAGATATCTTGGGTCCGTTGTTGAAAGCGATGGTGATATAGATGGAGATGTAATAGTGGAATTCAAGTTGGTTGGTTGAAGTGGAGGAATGCTTCGGGCCTTTTGTGTGATAGAAAAGTACCGCTTAGACTGAAAGGAAAATTTTATAAGACGGTGGTGAGACCTGCAATGCTCTATGGCGCTGAATGTTGGCCTGTAAAAGAGAAGCATACCAATAAGTTAAGTGTTGCCGAGATGAGAATGATTAGGTGGATGAGTGGCTTTACACTTAGAGACAAAATGCGAAATGAATATATCCGTGATAGGGTTGGTGTAGCTCCTGTGACGGACAAAATTAGAGAAAGTCGTCTTAGATGGTTTGGTCACATTAAACGTCGACCATCTGATGATTCGATTAGGGGAGTAGATGTTTTAGATCCGACTTGTGTTAAGAAAGGCAGAGGTAGACCTAGGAAGACTTGGGCTTATCGTATAAAAAATGATCTTAAGTTACTAGAATTAAATGAAAATATGACACTAAATAGGACACAATGGAGAAAAAGGATTCATGTAGCCGACCCCATGTAGTGGGATTAAGGCTTTGTTGTTGTTGTTGTATGGATATTCTAGTCAATAAATAAGTTATGTATGTAAGCTTAAAGGAGGAGCCATTGCTTTGTGGGTTCAACTTTTTCAAACCCGTAAACATGAACGCTGAAGTTGCATTATGAGTTGGCGAAGGATGAAGCAACTATTGTGAGGGCATTTTTTACCTTTTGGTTACGAGCAAATGCTCTATCACCAATATCAAAAATGTTATCAAGGAAACCGCACAGTCAGTGTATCTATTGAAGGGTTTAACTGTTTAAATGAACTAAAAAAACCGAATGAAATAGATCAACAACTAGTGGATACATCGGAGGCCTGAGAGATTCCATTCAAGACGAGCTTGAAATTAATGCTGCATGGCCACTTTCTCAAGCCATTAAATTCGCCTGCGAAGCTGAAATTCAATTAGCCTGAACTCCTAAAGCTAGTTCTTGGAGGCAATCTTGTGGAGAAGATTCCACCGACTTGCAAAAAAGTAATAATCCCAATGCTAAACCCAGATCCCTTCAAGTGCAACAGCTCGCAGGCCTCTCCAATGCTGATGGCAAGGTTCTAGCGAAGCCTAATTACTCCAAAGATAGCCTATATTATAAACCAGACACCTCAAAGTGTTTACATTGTTTATAGCCGGGTCATTAAATGAATGAATGGCCCAATAGGAGTCAGGCTCAGCAACTAGAAGGAGAACAAGAATTGGTTGAAGGCCCCTGTTGATACCTTCTACTGAAGAGCGTGAAGATGTAGTTGGTGAGGAAGTTGATTTTCTCTCTTGTATTTTGGAACAAAATTAGTAGTTCCTAGTGCGTAACGGCATCGCATAGGCATCATATTTTTCGCACCAGATGGCAAGTTTTGTGACATTTTGATAATGGTTTCACCGAAATTATTGTATCCCAATGTGTAGTTACGGCCCTTCAATTGAAGACCTTCAAACATCCAAATCCATATAAAATTGGATAAGTTAAAAATGATGTTTGTTGTAGTTGTGATTAAATCGTGTCAGATTCCATAGGAAAATAACTTTGATTTGAAGTTATCTGTGATGTTGTGAAAATGGATGTTTATCATATCATATTCAGAAGACAATGGCAATGTGATACTAGTGCTTTGTATGATGGTTGAAGCAATGTATATGTTCTTGAATGACAAAATAAAAAAAAATTGTTTGCTGCCAACGAACTCTAGAAATTCCCAAATAGCAGACCAATAAAAAACTGATAAGGCTGCCTTTACAACTGTTCTTGGATTGCGACTTCTAGCGGACAGCAAAAATAGACCTTTTTATTTGCTGTGGTGGTTATGGAAGTCATCAATCAACCAACAGAAGACTTCAGACTTGCGTTACCAGCTGGTGTTGCCACTCTACTGCAGCAGTTAGAAGACATTATGTCGGTTGAACTCCCAAAAGAATTACCTCCAGAGAAAGTTATTCAGCATCAAAGAGATTTATTGCCAGGTGCTGTGTTACCTAACTTACTTTATATCACTTAAGCCCGAACAAACAATACTTCAGGAAATTACTGATGATCTTTTAAGCAATGAATACATTTGTCCTAGCTTAAGTCTGTGTGCAGTGCCAGCGGTGCTTGTACCAAAAAAAAAAAAAAATGGAGGATGATGTATGTGTGTGGATAGTAGTGCTATTAACAAAATCGCAATGAAATACCAATTCTCTATGCCACAATTTTAAGACCTTGTAAATCGATTTTCTGATGCAAAAATTTTCTCTAAATTATATTTAAAATGTGGATATCATCAAATTCGTCCTGGAGACAAATAAAAAAAAACCTTCAAAACTAAAAGAGGTTTGTATGGATGGCGTGTGAGGTCTTTCAAGCTCTATAATGCACCTAGCACTTTTATGAGACTTATCAATGAAGAGCTCAAACTTATTTTAGATTAGTGTTTTGTTGTTTACCTCGATGATATGTTGATTCACAACACATTGTTGGCTCATCATCTCAAGCTTCTTGCTAGCATTCTTTCAATCTCAAGCTCATTGGCTATATTATCAATAAGTCTGGAGTTCATATTAATCCCCAGAAAATAGAAGCCATTAAATCCAGGCCAATCCTTGCAGATATTACGGAGTTTCGAAGCTTTCACGGACTAACCAATTTTTTATCACAATTTATAATGGGATCCAATGAAATTTTGAGGCCATTATGATTTTTTATCACCAATTTATAATGGGATCCAATGAAATTTGTAAAAAATTTATCACCAATTTTTAACAACTACTCTCAAATAAAAGACCTTTATTTGGGGGGTCGACCAACAAAAGAATTTTGATTCAATTAAAGAAAAGCTTTGTTCAGCTCTTGCACTAAGTGTCTCAGATTTTAGCAAACTATTTCAAGTGGAGGTTGATGGGTATACTATTGGATTTGGCTTTGTTCTTTTCCATAAAAACAAACCTATTGAGTATTTCAATGCAAAATTAAGCACTTCCAATCAAAAGTGGTGAACTTATGAACAAGAATTGTATGCTGTAGTAAGAGCTTTAAAACACTGAGAATCATATTTTCCTTGGAATTATGTTATTTGGTGATCATTGGTCACTACAATTTTATAAACTCAAAAGAATTTGAATCGAATGCATATAAGATGGGTAATATTTTTATAGAAATTAAGTTGTTCTGAAACATAAGTATGGAACTTACAACAGAGTGGCTGATGCCTTGAGTCGGATGGCTAGCCTCTTAACTCGTCGAACAAGTACAACTTATATGGAATTAGTTGAAGAACTATAGGATTCTGATTCCTACTCTGCTGAGCCATGGAAACACCGCAAAGCTCACCAACCTATAACTGATTATTCACTACAATAATGGTATTTGCTCAATGGAAAACTGTTATGTATTTCGAGTAGGGGTGCCAATTTGGATCAACGGGTCTAACCCAAATGATATGTCAGATCGAAACTCGACTTGAATATTATACGGCTTGAAAATCCCAACCCAAAACCAACCCGTCTTCAACTCGCCAACTCGAACCGGACCCATCTTCAATTGGTTAACTTGAACCTAACTCGTGTTACTCTTTTAACATAAAGAATAACTCTTATTTGGCTTAAATCTGGATCAATTTCGGGTAAAATTTGAGTCAATTTTAGTTCAATTCCAGGTTGGTTGGTTGATTTCAATTCGATTTAGGATTAACGGATCAACCCAAACCTGGCCTAAAAAATTAAACGGGTTAGCATCTTTAACATGAACCCAACCCAAAAAATTAAACAGATTAGGATTTTTAGCATGAACCCAACCCAAAAATTTTTTTGGGTCAACCTAAATCCATATTTTTTGAGTTGGGTTCGGGTTGAGTTGGAGTGTTGGATCAATTTTCTTACACCCCTAATTCCGTGAACATCTTTTCGAATACAATTAATCAAGGAACTACATGGAGGGCGATTAGCAACTCATCTCAGACGAGATAAAACCTTATCATAATTATAATTAAAAGAACAATTTTTGTTTGTTTGGGCCCAAATTAAGACGGGATGTGAGTAGGTTTAAAGAACAATTTTTGTTTTTTTGGGCCCAAATTAAGACGGGATGTGAGTAGGTTTGTGGAGAAATGCCATCACTTATCAAACTTTTAAAGGTTCTCCACAAAATACAGGCTTATATAATCCTTTCCCTATTCCACAATCCATTTAGGAAGTTCTAATCAATTATTTTATATTATGCTTACCTAAGACTAAACACGAAGTTGATTCTGTCATGGTCATCATGGATTGCCTTCCAAAAATGGCACATTTCACTACCTGCAAGAAGACCTTTAATGTCATTCTTGTAGCTTGAATTTTCTTTAGGGATGTTATCCGGTTGCATGGCATATCTAGAAGTTGATCTCCGATGAGATGTCAAAATTTTAAGTCAATTTTGGCTTGAGTTGTGAAGCAATTTCAAAAATGATATTGAATTTAGCTCAATCTATCTTCGGCAAACCGATGACCAAATTGAAGTAATTAATATTGCTCTTGTTAATTTGATTCAGTGTTTAGCTAGGGAGCAACCCATGAGGTGGGATAAAGTCCTTAGTCAGGCAGAATTTGCTTTTAATTCCATGGTAAATCGCTCAATTGGCCGAACTCCTTTCAGTATAGTCTATACGAAGCCACCAAATCATGCTGTAGACTTGGCTATTCTTGCAAATCTCATTAGTAAGGCTGCTAAATACATCCATCATGCTACAAAATGTCCGAGACAAACTTCAGCCAGCAAAGCATAAGAAGATGGCTGATCAACGACGACGAAATAAGGAATTTAATGCGGGGTCTTGTTATGATCTACTTGGGTAAAGAAAGATTTCCTACTAGAACCCACATTAAGCTGAAACCACGAAAATATGGCCCCTTTCCTCTGGCTGCCTTGATAATTGGCAATGCTTATTTCATTTAACTTTCAGCTGAACTAAATATCTCTCTGACATTTAACGTTTTATTATCATGCTCATCACCTACTAGATGAAAGTCCAACACAAGTTTCCGAACCTGAGTCGAGTTCTTTTGAAGCAGAGGACAACTGATGCAACATTCTCCTTATACACCTAATCTCCTTCACTGTTATTCCTTATTTTACATTAGTACTTGTTTATATGTGGTGAATATTTTAGTAATTTTAGTTATTACTATGTGAAAAACAACTTGAGCCTGTGGTAGTGGTGAAATAGTAGGTTGTAATCGTACATAGCAGCTTTTTCAGAATTAATCTGGTTATTCACCGGATAATTCCTTTTCTTTGTTTTCCCTAGTTTGGGATTTTTTGTTCTGCCGCTGCACTAGAATAAGATTTGTTTATTTTAGTGAATTGTTTCTCTCCTCTTTTTCTTGTTCTGATGCTATTGGTTCAATGATAGTTTATTTTGCCTGTTTTGATATAATTTGATTTCTGAGAAGTATGAGGATTTCAGAGTGTTGGGGAGCTATCTTGATCTTGAATTTCTGTTATTGACTTTTGTTTGAATTGATTTTAATTGTCCTTTCAATTTGTATCTTGAGCAACAAAGTGTTATATATTAGGAATTTGTGACTTGAAATTTGTATGATTTACGCATTAAAAACTTTAGGCTTTAATTATTTCTACTTACATTTATCAAGTTTATTGTATTATTGTACTGGAAATGTTTTTTTTTTATTCTATAATTTTGACTTAGACTAAATATTAGCTTTAAATGTTTTTTTAGCTTTTGTCGTTTTTAATGAATTTTTAACAATGTCCTTATATAACCTTTGAACTGCTCTTTTTTTTTTTTTTTTTTTTTTTTGAAGGATTAAAACCCATGCCCTCACTATTTGATTACTCCTATATCTTTTGCAAGCCCAAAATTTTGTACATTTACAGAACTGATCTCTAGTTTTTATATCATTCCACAGCCATGGGTTTCCTAGCTTAGGATGGCCCTTCCACTTGTTACCGATTATTTGACATCAATTTCTTTATTCTTGAAGGGTTTCCTTTTTTTTCTTTTTTTTTTAATTTCTGCATTTAAATGCTTCCCTTGTGCAGAATTTAATAATTTTCTTCTAAAACTTCATCTCTTTCAGTTCCTTCCTTTTTCAACAGGAGACACGATTGTATTGGCCGCTGTATTTGGACCGAAAGCTGGAACCAAAAAGGGCGAGAACCCAGAAAAAGCCTCTATTGAAGTTATTTGGAAGCCAAAAACTAGTGTTATAGGTATTATCCATATCATTTATGTGTTCATGTTTTGAGAACCACATACCGCTTTCCTGCAGTTTGTTTATCATTCACTTTACATTTTCCCCTTCCTTGATTATTTGTATGTGGATAGTGTATGTTTTGCTAGCATTTCAATTGTCAAAATGATAATAGGTCATTTGACACCCAATTTGTGCAATTTTGCCTTATCTCTTTGACATTTAAAATTAGGAAGATTTACATACATATCACTCAATTCATATGCATTTATATCTATCACCTAATCTTTAATTTTTACATACATACCATCTTACCTATACGTGAAAAGCTGTATTTCACCATTTCTAAGTTAAAATAGGGTGGTGTAAATGTGACAAGCTAAGTTTAGATGTTAGATATGTAAAAACATATGAATTGGGTTGGTATGTATGTACATGCCCCTTAAAATTAATAACCGTCAACTGAGCAGACCGAGTATACCTTTCAATTCTCTCGTTATTGCTTCATTTATAATGAGCTACAACAGCCTAGGTTGATGGTTTTCTACGAAGAGGATACATTTTGTGAGCAAATTAGAGATTTTATTGTCCTGTAACTTCCCTAATTTGTGTTTAAAAATTTACAGATGCAATTACCTGTAAAATTTATATAGATGATCATAATTGTTTGTGCTCAAGTTTGAATATGAAGGAAACTTTGCTTGGTGGTGACGCAGACTATAACTTTGTGATGTAGAGAAGCTATTGATCGATATTTTAGATAATGATATTACTGCTATTCGTAGTGCCGACCAACTTTGCTCTCTTTATTGGCAGTTCACTCACAAGTTTCAAATGGTTGAAATACAGGGAGCGAAACCCGCGAGCTTGTGTACACGGTATCAGAAGCGGGGTGGGGTTTTCATCCCGAGAGACCGAGTTGGGAAAATTCTCAATTGCAATGCTAGTGCTGGGTTCTGTCAGTCCTATTTACCTATTGCAAATTTTAATAGGACTTAATTTCATGTCTTAGTATAAGTATGTTGTTTTAGAAGCTGGTTTGGACACCTTTACTTTTGGTTTATGTTATTTGAAGACTTTTTGTTAGGACCCGAAACCAAAATCAGTGAACAAACAGTGACGAAATTACAATAAATAAGTGAAAAAACTCAAAAGAGGTTGTTCTTATTAAAACCAAAAGAAAATAAGCAAGATACAATTATGATCCACTGTTCGAGAGATAGATCGCCTCTCCACAAAACTTAGACGTCAAATAACAGCCGAAACATTCCTAAACACTTCCCCTACTTTTTCCACTCAAATTCCTCTTAATTTCTTTCCTTCTATACGCGAGCAACGACTTCGTAACTTCCGCCTAGGTGTTGGAATTGCGTCCCGTATCATGCAACAGGATTGTCTCGCTTGGACCGGCCTCCCTCTTCTTTAGCTTGGCCAGTTCAGACCAGTGCTCCTTGTACCAGTTTCGCCAAAGCAGTGGAGGGGCGTAACAACACTCCCCTCCCAAAGAAGCAACTTGTCCGCAAGGTGAAATGATGTAAACTGCTTTTGGATACCTTCGTAAGGCTTCCACATAACTTCTTAGTCTGACAAATCTTTCCACCTAATCAATACCTCCTTTGATCCTGTCACCCTCAGACGCACCCCTTTGACCTCTAAAGGTTCCAGAACCACCTCCATATCCTCCATTAGTGTCGACGGTAGTGAAAACGAGGGTGTATGATCTCCGATAGCACGCATCAGCTGAGAAACATGAAACACGGGATGCATTGTCGATGATGATGGTAGCCTCAAACGGTAGGCTAGTGCCCCAATGCGTTCAGTAATCTCGTAGGGTCCAAAATAATGCGAAGAAAGTTTCTTGTTCCTCCTCTTCGCTAATGTCTTCTGTCAATAGGCATCAACTTTAAGTAAACCATGTTCCAGGGCTAGAATTGTACCCCTCGAGCTCTGTCAATACTCTGTCTCTCTCCTCCAAGCACTAGTCAACATTGTATATTGGTGTGGCGCTATGCCCGTAGTGTATCAGGTGAGGTGGATCTCACTTATACAAAATCTTGAAATGGGTGGTATGTGTCGTGGTGTGTTATGATGTATATTTCCAATATTCTGCCCACGCAATTCGCTTTACTCACAGTTTTGACGTTTCCAATACAAAGCAACGCCAATATGTCTCCACACTCCTGTTGGCCTCCTTTGTTTGGCCATTTGTGTGGGATGATATGCAGTGCTCCTCTTAAGGACTGTCCCATGTAACCAGAACAACTCTTTCTAGAAGTGGTTGAGGAACACCTTGTACCTATTTGATATAGTTGATTTTGGTACTCCGTGTAAGCGAACTACTTCCCATATGAATACTGTCGCCACTGAGAATTATTTGTAGGGGCGACGTAATGGAATGAAATGGCTATACTTGCTTAGGTGGTCCACGACCACTAGAATCACTGCAAACCCCTTTGATCAGGGCAAAGCCTCTATGAAATCTATGGTTACTTTCTCCCAAACCTTCTCCGACAAGGCTAGGGGTTGCAACATTCTTCTTGCACCATGGTCAGGTGTTTGTGTCATTGACACACATTGCAACACGCCACCATGTCTTCTTAATCTCTACACATCCCCACCCATTAAAGCTTTATTGATAGACGAGTGTAGGTCTTTTGTACTCCGGAATGTCCCTTATTGTTCTGCCGTGAAACTCCTCCGATAATCTTGGAATGTACTTCGATGTCCTTGATATTCCTGGGTGACTGTTTGTGTCCTGTAGCAACTCTACTCGCATTTTCCTCAATCCCTCTTCTTGCTCGCTCTCTTGTCTCATTGCTTCCCAATTGAGGACCAATGATACTGTTAAGGATGCCAACTGAGGCTCTTCCCCCTTCCCTCAACAGGGCATCCGTGACTTTATTCTCCAACTTTGGCCGGTACTGAATCTCGAAATTATATCCCAACAACTTGAACAACCGCCTCTGGTGCTCTTCAATCACCATCCTATGCTCCAACAGACACTTCAAGCTTCTCCGATCTGTTCTGACGAGAAAGTGTTGTGCTGTGTGGGTTTGCCACGTATGAATGACCAATACAATAGCCATCAACTCCAACTCGTAAACTGACTTGAGCCTCGCCCTAACGGTGAGCACCTGACTAAAGTAAGCAATCGACTGCTGGTCCTGCATGAGTATTGCTCCCGGTTCATACCCTAATGCATTTGTCTCTACCACAAATGGTCTACTGAAATTTGGAAGTGCTACTACTGGTACACTTGTCATGACTCTTCAGATGTTAGAAGGCCTGTTTTGCGGTTTCCCCCCACTTAAAATTGTCTTTCTTCAGATGCTTCGTCGGTGGCTATGCTATTGTGTTGTATCCCTTTACAAACTTTCGCACTATTGGAAATTATAGGATTAGCATCGAGCATTTCCAAAACTAATTGAGTTTAGTATCGGATTAACGTTAAAAGAATGAAGATGTTAAAACGGGCTTCGTCAGCAAAAAAATGCGTCAGGTATTTTTTAACGTTGGAATAAGCATCGAAAGATTTCGTCACTGTGAATTTGCGTTGAAAAAATAATCGACGTTAGACTAATGTTGTTTTAGCGTCAGAGTTGTCCGACTCTAATTAGCATTTACCAGAGTCAATGCTAATTAGCGTTGGCAATTCAAAATTTTATTAAATAGCGTCAAATTTGCTTGGTCAGGTATTGAACAAAATATTATTTATTTAGTGTTGAAATTTTCCGACGTTAATCTGACACAAACTTGTTAGTAACTAAAAAAAAAAACAGAACAATTAGATTTTCATATACCTGTACGAAACAAACACAAATAACATAATATGATATTTATCTATCTCTAGAACTGATAAATGAAATCACCAACATATCTAAATAATGATATCAAATTAAATTAAAGATAGACGAATCAAAGCGTTCAAAGTTCAAGTTCACAACTAAATCAACAAGGAAAATACATTGATGTAAAAAACATACAATCAGCCCCTATGGCGGTGAAACATCAATAAAGAAATAATAAAAACCTAATCTTGCTCTTCATGCTCCTCTTGCTCCTCATCCTCCTCAACAACACTCATATACTGCTTGCACTGATGATCAAAATTCTCTGTCAAGCATGCTAGACCATCTTTGACCCTCTGCTAGCTTTCATGCATTTGTTAGAGCTCTTCATTCATCATCATGACTTACCTAACAAGCTCTTCATGCTGAGCCTGTAACGAGCTAGGGCCACCTACAGTTGCACGAGAGCGCTCGGCCTCAAATGTTATCCTCTTTGCGCCCAGGCTATATACCCTCCCCTTTTTCTTCCTTGCCGACTGCATCGACAGCTCAAAATCACACTGAGCAGTTGTGGGTGGCCAGCGAGGTCTGGCTATCCATCCCCCTTTGTCTCTCTCGAGCTGCTCGTACTCCTGCATCACAAAATTTTAAACAATCATTAGCATTTTAAATATTATAGGCTCTCCAAGAAAAATAGAAAATTAAGTATTTGAACTTACATTGACACGTCAAGAGTGGTTGGATACCCACTGACGTGTGCGTAGGCCCTTATATGTGAGGACATGCAGCTCTACAGTGAATGACTCTTGATCAAGCTCCTTAGCCTGTATACATGCATGATCATATCAAAAAAATATAAGCCACATACTTACATAAATATGTAATCTACAAGTTCATCTTTCTACAACCCTATTGCATGTGGGTTGATGAAAGCCATTGTGAAAGTATGAGAGAGAGAGAGAGAAATGAAATGAAGAGGAGTGGCAAAGAAGTGGGCATACAAGATGTAGGGAGAGCTTTTAGTGCTTGTAAGGGAATAAAAATGTTTATTCTCTAAAAAGGCTTCGTCCATTGTTATAATTTAAAATGTGAAGTTACTTGTCTAATTTGGTAGGGCTGTTGATTGTGCCCGACATTCAAACTAGAGTGATAATTACTATAGTTTTATTCAACTCAAAATCATATTGATTTTCCTCAACATAATTAGTGAGACTTATTTGTGCCTAGTTTG